CGCCCCGTTCCCGGCCGCCGGGGCAGGGCAGAGGCGAGTACCGCCTGCCCTTACAGAGGTTTACCGAGAGCTTTCTTCGCCCCCTGCCAGGAAATAAGCTCAAAATGCGAAGGGAGCCTCCCTTAGCACCCTTCAGGAAGGCCACGGAGGGGATTTGGTTTTATTTATTTCATGTTCCTTAATCGTTGGCCTTGCAGCAAACCCCGAATGCGCAGTGCCCTTAGCACCAGGCTGCCCACGGGAAGCTTTGGTCTCTCTGGGCAGCAGCATCTCCTCCCCACTGCACAGGGAGCGTGGTCTCACCCCCAAGCATGGAGCCACCGATGCACGGGAGAATTTATCATCGTCCAGGACCATCTTCTGTGGGGGCTCCCGGGGCAGCCAGGCCCCTCTGCTCCAAACACACCCCCCTACTTCACCCCAACCCTTGGCCATCACGTGCCAGCGATGATTTAAAGTCCTGAACGTGGCTCCCCCAACACTTTCGAAGCATAAATTGCAATTATTGCCTAATAATATTGCTCTGATGAAGCATCAGAGCCACGACAGTGACTCACATCACTGCAGGGAGGAATGGGGGGCTGCTGGTACGCCTCTTCTGTCCCCTGTGCTGGAAGGGACAGGAGACGATGAATCAAATGCGTATTTATAGCACTGAATAGGAATTATGAGTGTTTGGCAGGGTGACCTTCATCTGGGCCCAGGATTAACTAAATGGGCTTAGCGGGCCTGCCCATCGAGTGTTATATTTGCCTCAATAAAAGAAAGATAAAAGGAAAGATGGGGAGAAGAGCTGTGATCGTAAATCTGTGTTTTGAAGCAAGCCTGGGACCCGGCTGTTCGTGTGACCGGGGAGCAGCAGCAGCCACTGGGTACGAAGGAGCGAGCAGGCACCCACCGTGGCACCAGCTGCTCCCGTTGGGCACGGGACTGTGCTGGCAGAAGGGAAACCCAGCAAATCTGGTCCCAAGTCATCTGTCACAAACGGGGCAGGTTGGGCCAAGGGGATGCAGCTCAGGTGCTGCGCTGCAGATCGGTGAGCACAGAAAGGACAGAAAATGAGGGTCCAATTCAAAATATGCCACAGCACCTTGGGAGGCAGTGGAGTTCAGCTGGGCTCCAAGTCTGAGTAGCCCCCTGCTCAATGATAACAATGCCCCCAGAAATATCCTGGCTATGATTGCACTAAGTTTTCAGACAAAAATCCCTCCCAAAGTACAGCTTTAGGTTGACCAGAAACAATGGATGAGTTTTTGGCAATTTCATTTTGATGGTTAACAAATGAGGCAATAATAGTTTGTATTTAAAACAATCTTCTGGTTGTGTTGCATTTTAGTTTAAGATTGCTCAAAAGCTAATTGAAACCTCATGGTGTATGTCACATGAAACACGTGTGAATCTAAAAGCTGTTTGATCACCTTTTCAATCACTTAAAATTTTGAAAAATACCTTCTCACTTGTTGCAAAAAAAATGTGTTCCCAATCCTCAAACTTGCCTTTGCATGAATAAGAGAGCTGCTTGTACAGCTTTAATTCTATCAGCAATGGATTTATAATTGAATAGCATCACAAGTACTTCTGAACTTGGCTTTTATTCCCCCAGATTCATTGTACATGAGCTTATGAAGTAAGTGGCTATTGCTGAAACTGATACTAGCATCCTGTTATTTATCCAGCGCTGATTTCTTAATACCATAAACGTGACTAATCCTAAATTTCATGTACCTCACATTCAACAAAGACTGGAGGAAGAACATCTTTAGAAGACAAAGGCTAGTCCTGCTCTCTACCGTGGGAAAATAAATTGCTAAAAATCTTTCTGCCCCAACCACTTCCCTTTGTGCTGCTCTGCCTGGGCTGGCGGACAACTCAAAGCACGTGAGTCCTGCCTGCTCTCTGCCTTCCCCCTCCGTGCTCGTCCTGCCGCACCGAGACTCCGGCCTCTTCAGCTAGATGTACGCTAAGATATTTAAGCAACATGAAAAGTTTAGTATTTTAGAAATGTCGTCTCGCTTTCTGGAGCCTGTCGGGATCTGAAACGTGCCAATGCCCAAGGAGCGAGGAGGTGCGCTGGGCCAGGGGTCGGCTCACGGCTCACGTGCCGGCTCTTGCCAGAAAGGGAGGACTGTCCTGCAGAGCTTGAAGGAAACAAAAGCATTTTGTTTGTCTTTGGCTGTTCCCACAGATCACATTAATGAAATTGAAATTAAACACATTTCTTAATTTTCTTTCTTTTTCCCAAAGCTTTTTTATTTTCTTGCAAGTGCTGAAGACCGAGTTTAATTTCGGAGTGGTGTCTTTCATCTTTCTGCTTTTGTTCTACACTGGGTCATAACTTCATGCATGTGTTACACTGGTTTCTGAAATATCAGAGGATGTTTCTAGAATCAGGAAGAAAAAAAAATAAATACAGTTTTCCTTTGTTTTTCTTTTAGTTTCCAAGCACATAAAACATGTGCCATGTCTTCTGATCCTGCAGTCATTAAGGATTCTGAGACACATTTCCTAAGAATGAGATTTTAGACATTGTGTCTGGCTTCTTTCCAGATCAGGTAATTACATTTTTCCTCTCTAAATTCCCCTGCACTTTCAATTGGATACATTATTATTCTCCATTCCCCAACTTAAACTGTTACGCTGTGCAATTGTCTACTCTTTTAAAAAGGTTTTGCGTTGAATGCCTGGGAACTGGTTTCTCTCTTCTGAGGTTTAATTCATTAACACAAATCACTCCAAGGCATTGAGATGATGCAGCTGTTGGTTGTTGATAAATGATCATTGGTTGATTGTTAAAAGACTACCAATGAATAATTATTAATTAGAATTCATAGTTTGGAGGGATATTTTAAATTTATAAACTGCGTGTTAGAAATCTAAGCACAACATAGCAGTAAAATTTACATAGAAAAATCAACAAAACCTTCAACTGCACACATCAGCACTGCTTGACTGTGTCTGACCTACTTCAAGACTTTGGCCCAAATATCCCAAAATAAGAAGGAATTTTTCATTTGGAGTTTCTTCATGATCCAGGGCAATTTAAAGCCAGGCATAACCTGATTGCACTGATGGAATTACACCAGAAGAATGGACTTAAGTTTATATTGTAAGAATTTATTTTTTTAAAAGCAGTTCAAGAAGCCGTAGTTCTGGTGTCAACTCTTACTGTCTTTCTTTGGGAAAAACATGCTGCTTTGTGGTGCTGCTAGGCTTGTTTCAATGGTTTGCCAGGCAGCCTGGAGGTTCCCCAAGCTTCACCCACTGAGCAGGGTGCTCTCCTGGGTTACTGTCTCCCACAGCCACATCTTCATTGCACCAAGCTGCGCTGCAGCCCCTTCTGCTGGGCTCCCACGTACCGACCGTGCTGATGAACACGTTCCCCCAGCACTAGCCAGCTGCTTTTGGAGTGTGGTACCAAGGACCAGGTCACAGCAGTGCCACTGGGCTGTAGCACAGCCCTGCTGCAAGGCTCCATCTCCTGTAGGGCCCCATCCCTGGTACCTGTCACAAACCCACCCTTGCCTCACCACCTAGAGCAACAAGCTGAGGCCTCAGTTTCATATAAATCAGGATCTTTTCATAAGAGTCAGGGAAGCTGGCAACTCTCTTTATGTATTCTTCTGTTGTGATGAAATGTCAGTAGACCTTATTAATTCCTTGTGTACCAAAAGAAATCTCCATTCATATTTCCTTGACATTTACTGGTGTCCATTCTTAATCAGAGGTCAAGTGTCCTTCGCAAGGGATGTGACTGCAAAGTTTAATCTGTTGTTTGAGGAGCGACTGAACGCTCCCCATGAGGCTACTGCCTCCAAGTTACCAGCTGCCAATGCATCTGATGTCTGTGAGGCCATTGGGGGTGCTGGCATTGGGGAGCACGACTGTGTTGGCCATCACAGACTCAGCTGCATCCACACAGCATAGAGGCTGTCTGGACCAGGATTTTTAGATATGACTGCAAAACAAAGCAGGTCCTGTTATACACTAATAAGTAGCTTCTCCTGGAATGGGTAGCACCAAAGCTTTGGCTGCTGAAGGCAACTACCAGTTCTTCATCAGCTTCTGCAAGAACAAGAGCATTACTCCTGCTCCACTGGGAAGAAACACGGAGTCCAATATTGTTTTCCCTACCATAAAAGACCTCCTGGCTTTTCAGTTCAGCTTTTTCTGCCCCAAACCACTGAGTAATGTCATTGTGTGCCATGGTACAGCCACTGCTTTCAGGTGGCTGACTTTCAGTGATGGATGAAATAATTCCTGCATACGTAGATTGTTTGGTGCTTTGAGACATGTTAGAATAAATGAATCACCACAGTATAAGACTCATTATCAATATTGCTTGGAAATATAAAAAATGTCAGAGGCCTCAGTTTAATTTGGATGTTTATCATAGGCTCCGGAGAAACGGAAAAATGTGACAGTAACAAAACACTGCAGCAGTTATGCCAACCAGCTTCAAGCAGTGGTGGAGAGCTGGTGTATTTCTAGGCCACGAGGGAAGAAGATGTGGGTGCTGGGGGATCCTTCTCAAACATTTGTTCAAACAAAAGTGATGCTGGAGAGCATCCAAGTGACAGCATCTGGGGCTCTAGCAAATATCCTGCTTGCCTCTGGGGCTTGATGAGATGTATAACAAGAGTTGCTGATGTGGAGGTTCCTCACAGGACTGCTCACATCAGTCAGCTACAGGACTCCT